CATATATATAAAAATGTAAACAACACAGATTTAAGATTTTTAGTATTCAAAACATTAATTTAAAAGTTGAAATAAACTACAAAATTAAATATAAATATTTATGAATAGTTTTTATGTTATAAAAAATGCATTTGACCCACTATAAATCTAAATTAATACATTTTGAACCTTTCAACATGAAAAAAATATTTTTAACGTTTTAACAAGATGATATATCATTTTATATATATATATAAATGTATATATATTAATATATATATATATATATATATATATATATATATATATATGCATGTTTATTAAATAATATAGACAAGTGTTGTCTATTTATTTTATGTAAATTCTTTTCATATTGTCTGATAAGTTTAATAACATTATCATTAAACGAAGAAAGAAAAATCACAATATTGATACATATTTTTTAATCCTATCTAAGCTTTCGGCTTACATAAGCCATTATCAAAGATGACAATTACATTACAATATATTAAGCAATACACGGACAAAACAGTGATGATAGTCTGTTTCTGTTTACATGGAAGATTTCCAAGCAACGACAAACTCATGCATATAAGACGCTGGAAGCGAAAATCGCACCGCAGCTCATGACGTCACACATGACCACGCGAGAGTGAAAACGAGAAGTATTAAGTATGGGAAGCCGTTGGTATAAACCAATGGCTTCTGTTACCAATTATAGGCATTTAAGAATATTTGTGGAGATTTCATAGTTTATTTTGTTCATGTTAGGTTTCAACTGTTTTATGTAAATAGCTTCAAGAATTTTTAGTTTTTGTTTATTGTTTTCATGTTTAAGTATAGTTGTGTTTTTAACAAGAGTTTTCCAGAATTGTGTATGTGGCCAGGCATGTTGTTTTAAATGCCTAAAAATGTTAGTTAATCTTCTACTGCTAGCCTCTTATTACTGTATCTCTATTTTCATAGCATATGTTCAAATGTGCTCAGTCCACAAATGCACCATGCTGCATACACAGGATTAACTCCTTTTGATTCCCTTGATAAACCATTGGTCAGGAAGTTGAGAGGATACTTCCCCAATCATGACCATATTAACCTCTTCAAGTTTAGGGTCAACCATCATCTATCCTACATATCCTTATAATATGCACTTCATTTTATGCCCTTAAAATAAGCTCATTCTACCTTAAGTGGCTCTTGGGCCTTGTATTTGGTGAACAGTAGTATAAAGAAATGTGTGGGCTGTTTCATAACTCTTTTTGACTTTTTTGAAAATGGTTTCATTAAAATAATTGTCAGATCACTTGCAGTTAATTGATTGTGGGGTCTGCTTGATTATTGTTGGTGGAAGATGTATGCACATAAAGTGGCTTGCTGTTGGGTATTATATATATATATATATATATATATATATATATATATATATATATATATATTTATGTTTGATATGTACCTTTTCTAGGGTTGAGTATAAAATCTAGGAAATTTTAATAGCCAAAATTGACCTCAGTATCACTTTTTATTTACATATATTATATCAATATATGTATGTGTACATTATGTATTTGGACAGCAAATTCTCTTTTAGGCATGCCTGATTGAAAAATTAAAAGTTGTTTTATGTTTGCTATTTTTTTAATAAAATCCGTTTATATCATGAATAACCTTCCAAAATTGTTATTTAAATTATAAAAAATACAATACAAGTAATTGTACTAATGAACAAATATATAGTCTTGTACTACTTGGTTTGAAGATGATCTTGGAAAAAGATCGAAATATTTTAGAAAAAAAATAAAAGAAATTTATAAATATATATCAGCATTTCTATTTCTCTAATCCTTTATTTCAATACACAGAAGGTTATTTGTGAGTATGAAGATTTTATTAAAAATTAGCAGATATAATGTCTGTAAAAGGTAAAAATTTTTAAAATATTAAAAATGTCTTTTTTTTAACATGGTGTTATAAAGAAAATTTTGCATATATATAATGAAATATAGTTTTAAGTTGTGCTATATTTATGGGATAAAGTGCTTAATATCGGCGATAGAGCGTATATAAACATGAAAGTGAACATTGAAGTCAACACTCAGAGGTGACAGACTGTTTCATGCTAGATGCAATCGTCAGACCAGGTTTTATAGCATGCGACATGTATAGTTAAAAAGTTTAAAATATTACAAAAAAAAAATTATTTTTTTTAAAATGGAGGTGGGTGTTTGTATGAGGTGGTGATAACTATCTCGATACACTTATGCTTGAAAGTTTTTCTGTGAGTGACATATCTGTGAAAAAAAAAAAGTATGAACGGATTTTATTAAAAATTAGCAGACATTTGTTCACTCAGACACAAACACTATATATATATATAAAATCTGATTGAAAGAGCTCAGTAAAGCAAAAGTTTGGTGCTACCCTCTGGATTTCAAAAAACCACCTAAAAATAAAAAAGTTGTTAGTTTTTTTTTTTTGTTTTTTTTTTGTTTTTTTTTGTTTTTTTTATCTTCAAGAATAATTTATGAGGTCACATCCAGCTAGAAGGATTTTATCATATATTTAATAATAATAATGCCAAAATTTATATATTGAATCAAGTTTCCTTAAGAATGTATCTCTTTTTGTATAATCTACCTTGCTGGCTAATGGTAATCTTAGAGCTGGTGGATTCTAAATTTTAGACAACGTCTCTCTATATCACTAAAATAAATGCCATTCACTAATAGGTTAAATAGTTTCAGCATGTTAATTTAATTAGGGATAAAAAGGTATGGAACTTACTAAGCCAAAAATTCCCAATTTTGACCTCAAAACCTGTGATTTGAAAAATGTGTATATATATATATATATATATATATATATATATATATATGTGAAAATTGTATATAAATATAAATAAATATATATATGTAAAATTATTTATATATTATATTTTCATACTTATTAAACCAAATCAATATCAGAGATCAAATAAAATATATATATATATATATAATATAATATAATTTGATGATTATCACCACCAGAATTAGGAGTAACTGTGCTATATTGAGTCTAGTTAGTTTTCTCTTCACCACTGAAGTCCAATAAATCAATGGTAAATTTTATTACAAAATATTTTTGATCCAGGTTCAATTCTCAGTAGTGGATGTGCAGTGTTGATAAGTCCCCAAAAAAGGACAAAATGGCTATACAGTACTTTCTGCATTCTTGTGAGGATTCTTGTTCTACACTCAATGAATTATTATTTTATGTATATATATAATGGCATGCTACATGCATAGGTAAAAATTTTAAAATATTGTAAAAAAAAATTTTTTTTAACATGGACGTGTTATAAAGAAAGTTGTTTTTTATATATATATATATATATATATATATTTTTTAAGTTGTGCTACATTTATGGTATAAAGTGCTCAATATTGGAGATAGAGTAGATGTAAATATAAAAGTGAACATTGAAGTCAACACTCAGAGGCGACAGACTGTTTCATGCTAGATGCAATCGTCAGGCCAGGTTTTATCGCATGGAACATGTATAATTAAAAAGTTACGAAATTTTTTTTTTTTTTTTTAAATAGGGGTGGGTGTTTGTATGAGGTGGTAATAACTATCTCAATACACTTATGCTTGGAAGTTTTTCTGTGAGGAACATATCTGTAAAAAAAAATATAACATTATCACCATTTTTATGTAGCATTTTAGCTAACTGGGAGGCTTAAAAATTGGAAAAATATTCTTAGTAATCTAATGTTTTATTAAATTTTAGGTACTTTGGTTTAAAATTTACTATAATTATCGCTCTTATTTTCTGATAATATTGTGTATGGATGTCCATATTTACAAAAATTAGCACATTTGTACACACACAAAATATTCAAAATTCTTTTTAAAATACTGGAGGTCACTGAAATGTAGTAAGTGTTTTTTATTTTTGTTTAGTAAATATAACTAACCACTACAAATAATTACAGAATTTTAAAAGATTTAAAATTTTTTATAAATTACTAGACTAACTATTGTGTCACTGATATTTCCAGCTGTAAAACATTGAAGTCAATTTCAACATTCCATTGAAATGAAAGTGAATTTTATTATGATTCAATATTTCAGTTCATTTGTATCATCATTGGTCTGGTTTACACATTCATGTTTAATGTTTTACTGATTTTTTTACAGCATTTAATAGGAATAGAACTTCCTTGATGAACTTGAACTTTAAATCAGATTAAGAATCTCATTTTCAAAAATGCCAAATATATTGTTTGTTTAAAGAAAGCTGAAATATAAATAATTACTCTACAAACAACTGGACACAACAGCAAAGTGGGATCTCTTTGTGCATGTCTTTAACTTAAAAATATTTTAATTACAAAAAAATATTCCATTTGAAGAAAGTTAAAATAAAAATACTTACTGTACAAATAACTGAAATCATTATGTGCCAGATGGATGCGCCATACAAGCACACATGCAATCACAGACTTTTAAAAAATAAAACCTGAAAAGAATTCTTGTAAAAATTCATTATACATTGAAAAAAATTTAAGGCGATAGTGTCCATAATGTATTTTATTTCTAAAAGCAATTAAAAGCTTTTCTGATTAAATAATGTCTTAGTTTTATTGCCTTTTTTTAATATTATAATTCAGAGCAGATATTCTCTATTTTTTTCCTGTTTGAAAAAAAAGAATTGATAATTTAAATTCTCTTTGGATTTGTCCTTATAATTAATATAAACATTAAGCCTTACAAAACTTTATTTTATCTAAATTTCATAAAATTAAATAAAGTGGGAGAATACAAGATATAAAAAAAAAAATTACCAAATTAGTTCATTTGTGAATAAATCCTGAAAGTTTATTAAAATTTCCGTTATTATTTAACTCATTTTGTCTCTGGGCAATAAACTGTAATTTTTTAACTGATCTGACTATTCCTATCATGTAATAGTAATTACCCTTAAGTTAGTATGAGATTTTGAAATGACGTATTTTCATCACTCCACATATTTTATTCTTATGATTTTTCTTATGATTATTATTCACTTTCTCCTCCTCCTTATTCACTTTCTCCTCCTCCTTATTCTCTTTCTCCTCCTCCTTATTCTCCTCCTCCTTATTCTCTTTCTCCTCCTCCTTATTCTCTTTCTCTTTCTTCTCTTTCTCTTTCTTCTCTTTCTCCTCTTTCTCTTTCTCCTTTTCTCTTTCCTCTTTCTTTCTCTTTTTTTTTTCTCTTTCTCCTTTTTCTTTCTTTTTTCTCTTTCTTCTCTTTCTCTTTCTTCTCTTTCTCTTTCTCCTCTTTCCCTTTCTCCTCTTTCCCTTTCCCCTCCTCTTTCCCTTTCCCCTCCTCTTTCTCTTTCTGCTCCTCCTCCTCCTATGAACTACAGTTATACTGCTTCTGTTCATTCTTGTATTTAAAAAAAGAAAATGGTTTTCTTTCTCATTATCAACACTTCATCTTTTGAACACCGAAGCACTTTATTAAATTCATTTTTATGTCTTCATTTTTTTTTCGTCCTTTATTCCATGCTGGATTGTTGATGACCTAGTATTAGTAATAGCATCAAATTGGTTTGAGATTCCAAGATGAAGTGGTTTAACCACATTCTTATTCATTCTTCCTCATCTCTGCTAAGCCCAGTGACAAAATTTTTTGTGTCAAGATATTTGACAATTAGGAGATGGGTACATGTTTTTGCCAATTTCAAACAATGGGACAAATCTATTGAAAACAGGGCTGAAAAATCCTCAGCCTGACCAAGAAAAATGAGCTAGAAGTGGTGAGACCTACAGAATATTTTCTTTGCATTTGTTTCTTTAACCCTGCCATAAAATCTTTCTGATGTTTTATAATTGAACTAGTTTTTACAAGTGGCTCAAGCCAAGAATGATTTGCCAGCTTCAAGAACAGTGGCCTACTGTTTTTCTCATGACACTTACAACATTGATAAGCCACAAAAAAGAAAACAAATCCATCAAAATCAAGACTGTTATGACCAATTCTAGCTTGACACTGATGACCATTATTTTGCCTGGTTTCTTCAGTTGGAAAACAATGTTTGAAAATTTTATAGGGCTAATTCTAAAATGTGTGTGTCTTTGTGTGTTTTTTTTTGTGTGGGGGGGGGGTTGTTTTGTGTGGGGGGGGGGGTTTTTTTGTGTGTGTGGGTTTTTGTTTTTGTGTGTGTGTGGGATTTTTGTTTTTGTGTGTGTATTATTTTTTTTTTTGTTTGTGTGGGGGGGTTGTGTGTGTGTGTGTGGTGGGGTTCTCACTCTCTCCTGTTTTGTCAGTGTTTGTCTCCGTTTTATGTGCGTGCGTGTTAGTCATACTACAAGTTTCCTAATGTTTTTGCGTTGGTGACTCATAAAAATATAATGTTTGGTCATAAACTAAGTTAGTCAAGCCAAATATATAATTTCAAAAAGAAATAATTAAAAATTAAACTTAATATTTAATGAAAAAACAATTAAAAAAAACAAGTCTTGCTTATAAAAGTCATTTTATTCTAAACTCATTCTTCTTTTTTTTTATTTTTCTCTTGTTCCTGATTTTAATCTAAGCAAACAAACTTCGAAAGAAAGACAAGATTTTCACAAAATTATTTTGTTCTTTTGGTTTCCAGTCTATCTAAAAAAACACTAATGACAATCTTTTCTTACTTCTAAGTACTAAGAGAAAACCTTGGACACATAAAATATGGAAGCAGCAGTAGAAAATTTTGGCACGCATAACAAAGAAAGGCTTTGGAAAATTTGCCTCTCTTGCCTTCCATATCTCCTGTGAGTGCCAAAGGGAAATGGCTCGTAATGTAACTAACGAGCTTGTGTAATTGGATGACATGACTGGGAGGGGTATGGGGGGAAAGGCACAAAGATTGCTAAGCGATATAAAGGATAGAAAGTTGTGGAGAACCATGATCACCAACATCCTGAAGAGACATAACCACGTAAGGACTCATTTGATATTGCAATATTTTGTTAAGCTCAAATATTTAATGAGTGAGTAAAGGAAATTCCAAGAGTATTTTATAGATGTGGAACTCACAAAGAGTTTATTTAATCATTAAATTCTGATACATGAAAAAATACAAATAGGAAAACCGTGAAATTTTCACAGGCAGTGTTAGTTTATAGAAAAGGTACAGGAAAGCTACATAACATTGGTGGGAATATGATTGAAATTGAGATGCCAGGTTGGGACTGATAATATTGCAAATTTTCTTAGGATTTTGTCTCTAAAAAGTACATGAAGGATTCTGGTGAGAAAAATCGGAGAGCAGGACAAATGAAATGAACATCAACATTACCATGGATGTTCATTTCATGTCCAGATAATCAGAACTACTTTGCAGTACCAATGATCAAGGAAGTACATTTAGCCCTTTGGGTGTTCATGAACTTTGACCTGTACCTGACCCAAAATCTCTTTCTTTAACCCTGCCATAAAATATTTCTGATAATTTATAATGAACATAAAAATGATTTTTTTTTTTTTTTTTTTTTTTAAACATTTTCCAACTGATTCATGGATCATCTTTCTTTCTTTGGTCTTTTGCTTTTTGAAATATCTTTTCTTTCTTGCAGGTAAAATATCTCTCCTCCCTACCCTTCAGTCATTTACATTTATCTGAAATAGTCATCTTTTTCTTTTCCAGTTTCAACCTTGCTGGAATTAGGTCTGTTATGCTCTTATCAATTTGACTAAACCTTCCTTCTTTGCTGTAACTCTTCTTTGGTGATGGTCTTTTTCTCTTTTTTTTTTTTTTTATCTATACACAATCTTTCAGCCTAAGCTTCAATTTTTAATCCTTTCTAGAACTTTGTCCATGTGGTTAGAGCACTGATCTGTAAATAACAAGCTCCAAGGTTCAAACCTTTTTGCCTGATTTTTTTTTTTTTTTTTTGCAAGTGAGGATTCATTATAAAAAATTATTCAGACATTAAGTATATTTTTGCCATATTTTGATGCCATGATGCAAAGTGAAATGATTTATCTATTTATTTTTTAATGCAAATATTAGCATCATAGTAATAAAAAATGACTGTATTACTTGGGTACCTCCCAAAGATTTTATCAAAAAGAGCATATGATGATGAAAGAAGGCCCCAAAATTGATAAAAACTGTTTTATTATCAATTTTTGTTATTATTAACAGGAAAGACCAAAGTATTTTTGGTTATTTTAAGTTTTTCACTTCTTTCTAGCACATTTTAAACTTTGGTTAAAAAATCTTGTTTTTCTTGCATCAGTGGGTGGGTCAAAGGGGAATTTTTTTTTTTTTTTTTAAGTAAAACATTCTTGCAAAAATCAAATAATTTTTGGATTTTAATGAAATTTTCAGAACATATTCACAAATGAATTAAATTATTTTTGAATTTTTTTTTTTTTTTCTTTTACATCACTTACCGCCACTTCAGAAATTATTTTATCTTTGGAAGATTTTTTTTTAATAAAGAGAATTACATTGTGATGAAAGACTATTAAAAAAAGAGTGCTAATCAACTATTTTAGCAAAAAAAAAAACAAAACTCCTCCCTGTCAGTTTAAATTAGTTTTTGAAATACAGCAAACTATTTTGCTTATTGGACATATTAAATTTAATCTATTAGCTTGAAATTAAAACTAAAATAAAAGATTTAAGAAAGATTTTTAACCTTAGGTATTGCATTTCTGTGGTTGTACCTACTTAAGCAAGGCAATAAAGCCATTAAGATGCCAGGGGCTACTGGGAGCGAAAGAGAATGAAAAAGACTTTAGAAGGAACTTGAAACACAATTTTAAACAGGAAACAAAAAATAAACATTTACTCCTGTTCATAAACCAGGGATTTGTTGAAGCTACTAATATAATCTGTAGCTCTCACTGACATATTAATGGTCCTGATCTGGCACCTAGTCTACAGTCGCTTTCTCACAGACTTGCCGTGGCTTCCCTCTGTCTCTATAAATATTTTCATGGCAACTGTTCCGACGAATTGCTCCCAGACTGCATGAATTTAAGTGAGCTACTAGGTTAGCATCTCGGTCCCACCCTTTCACTGTCGAAACGGTTAAATGTAACCGTCTCTTCTACTCAAACAGCTTCTCTTCTCGCACTTCCTGTCTGTGGAATTCTCTTCCTTGCTTCCCTGATAACTATAATCTTCAAATATTCAAGTGTAATGTCAATCAACATCATCTGATACCTTGATCTTGTCCTTCTCTTTATCCTCTCCCCAAACACACCTTTTATTCTTGTTCTCTACCCTCTGTAACCCCTTATGTGCTAGTGGCACTCCCACCTTGCTTGGGGTGAAAAAAAAAAAAAAAAAAAGAATAATAAGTTATATATTTAGCTACATAACAAATAAATAAAAATAATATAAATTTTGATGCTATATTTGATTTCCTGTTTTTTAATTTTCTCCTTTGTCATTGACAGCATTTTAGAATACTTTGGCTGCAATGCTAAGTTTCCTAAATTGAACAAACTGGAGCTATTTCGTTTACGCTTTGTTACCTCTCTTTTCTATTGTTGTTTTTAGATTGCTTTCTTCCAGTCATTTTGATGGGCAATAGCGAAATTCTGAAATTTAAAATGATCTTATTCCATTTTAAAAATAATGCCTCTAAAAAGGAATATCTTAAATATACGACCAAAAATGGTTTTGAAAAAAAAACCTTAATGATTTCACTAAAATTATATAACAATAAAGATATTCTACAGACAAATCTATGGTTTGATACATCTCATTGCATGGTTACAAACTATAAAACAAAATTGAGCTTGAAATATTGTGCAATCAGTTTTAATCTTTTGTAAAATACTTGGATATGATATAATGAATAATTTGAAGTGAAAAAAGCAATTTCTGATTTTTTTTTTTTTTTTTTTTTTTTTAATATGCTCCTCTTCTGCCAAACACATCATATAATGATTGACTTTGACTTCAAGAGGCTAAGATTGTAGGGTTAAAGAAACCATCCATGTCAGTTCCTTCCACAAAGTGTTAATTCTTTGGAAAAGGCTGAGTAGAAGTGTGTTTAAATGCTGTGGAAGTAACATACTGTGTCACAGCTGTGAAGGTCTCAACTAGTGAAACTAAATAATAGAGTTCATCAACATTTGCCATGGTATTACCTGCAATGATGCATCTGTGGGAAAAGGGTCTGTGATCAATTTGAAGACTGACCTGTTGGTAACTGGGGATCTGTGTCCCACTCAAACCTTAACATTAGCCTAAAACAACTCAAACTATTATGTTGTGTCATTGCCAGTTTTCCAGGGTCCAATAAGTAGCATCACAAATCCAGGTGAAACATTGTATCTAGGGTCAACAGGGCCACCCTGGTGAAACATTGTATCTAGGGTCAACAGGGCCACCCAGGTGGTTCTCCTGCTCTCATATCCTAGGGAAATT